GTAGTTCAAGCTTTAACAGTAACACATACATACATATATATAATATTAGGATATTATGTAAAAAATTATGTACCTAATCCTTCCTAATCGTGTTTAACAAAATACGTTCGTTGTCTACTTATTATTGCACTTTATCTAAAAAGGCCTATTAAATAAAATACCCCACAAATGATACATTTAATCAATCGATCAAACCTGAACCGAGAGAATTTGAAATGTAATCTGATAATCCTTCACATGGCCATAGCAATCAAATAGGACAAAAAAAGGATTAAAATCCCATTGATCCTGCCAATCAACATATTCCGCACGAACCAGGTAGAAGCCTATGAATGCACGTCGTTATTATTCCATTTTGATGGCGAAATATGTAGACAAACAAACAACCTGCTCGTTGATAAGCAGGAAATGGACCTATCTATGAGCAGATGATCAATTCCCCTCCACCCGGCAAAAATCCATTTCTATAATTATGTATGCGAGAGCCTGAATTGAAAACGGCCCGACAGGTTTGCTTGGATTTTTTATTGTTTTTATAAAGTTCTGGTGAAGTATATATAGCAGGAAAGATTTTATTCCGATAATAGTTCATGGTCTCCATACGAACCTTTAATGATTACAATTAAGACATCTAATGTACGTGAAGCAATTACCTCAAACAAGCTTGAATTTGACGGAAAATTTTAATTAATACATAATTTCTCCCGAGAAGATACGACGCCGTAATACAATTCCTATGATGAATATGTTTACAAGAAATAATATTGATTTAACTTTTTTTAAATGAGACAGTAAAAAATGCACGTTTAGGTATCTACGTATTCCTTTCTTTTGGTTCTGTTCCAAAAATTATTTCTACTCGTCTAGAGAAACCATTTCATTAGTTGAGTATTCGCATGACTGACCAAGATATGTCGAGTTCAACTCCCGGGTCTGTCTGCCGAAAAGCAAGTAAGTATTTTATTACTACACCTTTACCTATCCCTGGAAGATATTGCAGGAACCCTGTAATCTTCTTTCAAAGTTTCGCAATTAAGACCTAACTACAACAATGTAAAACGAAACTATTAAAAAAGTAACTTTAAATTGAAAACGACCATTTAAAATACTTAAAGATTGTAAAGATTTTAAAGAATATCTCTTTTTAGAAGACAATTTAAAAGCACTCTTTGTTGGCTTCCTGTCTAAGCTTTAACCATTCTCCATTACTTAATTAAAGTAACAAAAAGTGATTCTTATAATAATCCAGAACGTAAATACGATGTTTCAATAAAAATTGATGGGTTACTTTGGTAGGTAGTTCTACTATTGTTTTATAATTAAATGATTTTTTATTATCACCTCAAAACATATGTAAATTAAATCTCAAAACCATAAGGTATTTCATGATGCAGTCGTATGACTGCCCCATGAACCGGAGGTCCGTATTCAAATCCCCAATCCTTGATCATCAGTCCTTAATCCCCAAATCCTCAATGCCTAAAGGACCGATAAAGCACTTATAACCATAGGCGGCGGGGGCTACTCCATCAGGCGACCCGCGCTGCCGTTTACCGCTCTAAATATACCACAAGAAAACCAGTCGGTCTACGCAGAGCCCGAAACTTTTCTAGCATAATAAATGGCGGTCTTCTAATTCTTCGTTTTCTTCCTAACAGTATCTCAAGCAGTTTTTTCAGGACGGGAGTAAAATTCCAATGACTAAGTTTAAAAAGATCGTGACCCTGCCAGTTTTGTGGTCTTCTTCTTGGTCTCTTTTTACCCTAAAATTCCATGGTGGCTATACCTCACGAACCAAATTTACGGCTCATGAGATATTACTAGTTTTTTAGCCCTAAATTACAAAGGTCTCGTTAGGATTCAGATGTCGAGCAAGTACGAGACGCTTATCATAAAACTGGACACCCATCTAAACTCCGACTGCGGTCCACGTAGCTACGTGGTAAGCTTACCATGAAGATTAAATAAAGCGCAAGTATAACATTAAATAGCAAGAGCCTTCAATTTGTACGAACTCAAACGTTTTATATTTTATGTTTGATCATTGCAATTATGTATGTAATTACTAAATGATAATTTCGAAGTACTTAATCTGCTTCCGCGCACTTGGACCGTACTTATCTTGCTTTTGATCTTTTTAATCTTAAGATGAAGATACTTTTAGGGATTGATAAATATTTATATGTGTAAGAAGCTCTCAAAACAACTTCTCAAGTATTCTGACGATTTAAAAGTTCAATGTAAGTACATTATTCCGTTACCGAAAAGAGATTTTGACAAAATTTTGTAAAAGGTTCGTCAAATGAATGTGACGCTTCAAGATTCCAGCATCGATTCCCAGTCAAAGTAGGCTAACTTAGGCTTTTTACCTCATAGTTGTCAGTATTTTAGGATTTTATTATTGCTAGTAATAAAATAGGTAGGAACTTGGTCTATATTTAAATACAGGTACATTAACCCACCTCTTCGGGGAATGTATACGAGGTGAGATATTATGTATGGCCTAGCCTATAACCCGATCCCACTATTAACATATCTGCTTTGCGCCCCAGTACCGCGAATTTGTCCGCAAGGGTTTCCGCCCTTAAGACGACGTAATTAAATACCAATCTTATTGCCATCGACACATCTTCCTATAGGTTACATATTTCCGATTCAATACGTTCTTGATATCATCCACTACAAACAAGTATCTACGGAAATATCTTTTCATAAAACAAAATTTGTATAAAAAAATCCTCCCGTTTTTACGACATTGCCTTCAAGTTTTGCTATTCTGATAAAATCCTGTGACACTACGGTCCATAAACCGCCGCGACTCTAGGTTTCCAAGAAATCACGTCGATCCATTGATGCGGAAATGAAAGAATCTCCCAAGAAGCTAGCGCAGATCGTTTTAATAGCAAAAAGGTACGAGATATTGAAGCAGTATTTAAAATACAATGGGGTCTCAGATCTCTCACTGCGAACAATGGTTCAAGATAGGTCTTGAAGATTTCAGTTTGTTGTTCCCGCAGCAAGAACTCTTCGCGTCCCAAAAAACCGCTAACTGGAAACAAATCAGTCGTTGCTTCTGTATTAATGTTTAACATTTTACAAAGAAAACTTCCAACGACGAGAGCAATACAGTTTCATAACTGTATTAAGATTTTTTGAAACTTAATATTTTTTAAGAAGATAATATAATTGAACATCACGCTTATTTGTTCTCCAGCCTAATCAGGAGTTGGACTGTCGCATGTACACCCACGCTTAGCCTATTATATTATGTGGAGCTCACTCCTATGGATAATCCTTATTTACTGTGTACCTATTATAATTAATTCCTAACTTAGTAGAACTAATACTGGTATTAACTGTAGGTACTAACTACTTATATTTCCCAACTCTAGAACCAAACCTCAGGGTAAAGCACGTGTCATCTCACACAATATCTAAGCCTAATTAAAAAAACACCCCATCAAGTACTGTTGAAAAGAAAGATACGAGCCAAAGATAGGTACATATTATTTTCCCAGTTGAGAAAGACTATTTATTAGACGAATAGGGCTTCACACAAAGGCTCTAACTAATCAATCATCTTCGTATCAGAAAATATGAAGCGATCGCCTTATTCTTTCAATAAAACTGCGATTACATACTTGATTAACGAATCATAACGAAGATAAAATACTTTCGTCATATTATTGTGCTCTCTGCCTTTTTCCAGATTACAACCAATGCTGGGGTTCTTTTTTTATAACAAATAACAACACAATAATATCAGAGTCAATCCCCTAAGAGATGTAATATTTTTTCTAAATAGCACGTAGTTTCTTTATTACGTAGGGCTAGGACCGCTTTTAAATTGCATATCTTAAAGGCTCTCTGTTATGATTGCAACCTCATGATAAATAGCCTGTAGCCGGCGGCCGACGTCCCCTAGTAATCCCACCAAGTTCTTGTAAGTCGAGTTCCTCTTGAATAAATCCTTCTCAAATTCCCCATTTATTTCTATTACATACACACCCGAATTCTTTGAGCTACTTCAGGTACTTTACTCATATCCATAACGCTATTATCGCTCTTAGATAATAGGTAATGTATCAAGATTCCGAACTCGAATACTTACAAAACTCTATAACATCGCAACCAACAAATAAGTAAACCTTTTGAACAGATACTTACAATACCAGTACTTGTAATTACTTTATCCGTTCGATGTTTGGAACTTCATTTACCCAGTTGTGGTTTGGAAGAATTTATTAAGTAGGTGGATTCAATCCGTAACAACAATTAATAATTAACGGCCATAACCACATCCTACAACCGACTGTCCGTTAAACTATTCGAAAGATATTCAAATTAGCGCACAGTATATATAGATACAATAGATACAAGTCAAGTATGTAGCTGTAATAGATTATTTATTTATTACATCCGACGGGCCTGTGTGATTGGATTCTTCCGGATCCAGGAAATTGATTTATTTTCCAATTACAATTGTTGTTCTCTGCTCTAAGTTAGCGCCTTTCAGCCGGAACCGATTGACGAAGATTTAGGAACATAAAAACAAAACTGCGTAAAAACAGAAGTACGAAAATGCACTAATGTTATGCCAATCTCGGCTTCGGGAACCACAATAAAAATAACTCGAATAAAGCTTAGCCCGTAAAAAGTTTTGTTTTTCCTTTAACTATCCGTCCTTTTAGTTTATTAAGTTTTGAAGCACTTCTGTCGTAACTTACTTCCCCAAAGTTACTAACGCCAATAGTTTATAATAAGAAAACAAGACAAAATTATACAATTCGCGAAGTCTGGAATTAAATATTATTATATTCTAATAAGATCTTACCCAATATTTTTTCCAATTTATAACGCTTAGGCCAAGAATGAATATCGCCAAGGCAATATCAATAAAACCATTCGCAAATAAGAAATTTCCTATGTGCGAAGCCGGAACTAATACCGAATTATGATAATTCTGAAAAAAGTTATTTCTCACATAAAATGGTACATACCTGAAGTAATGCCAAACCGCAAATCCGCTTGGCCAAACTTGCTTCCCCATTTTCACAAACAAATTTATTTAAGATCAAAATAAACTTTGTCCGAACACATTGCAAGCGCGGCACGCCGAAACTGACGAGCGGTTACGAAGCGTGACACTACCGCGGCAGTCGCGTTCGTGACTGAATGCTATAGAGCAGCGGAGTCGGAGCCAGTGGATAGGGTGGCTGCCCTCGTCCCGCGCCGCGCCGCCCTCAGCGCGCCCAGCCTTCTCTAGCGTCTCCCCTCGAAGGCATTATTCTACGCCGGACACTACATTTAAGCAAAAAACAAAAATCTACTTTGGCTTTTAAGTCCCCAAAATTGCTTGCAATTACATGACTCTACCCTACTTAAAAGAAAAAAGTTAAGATATTTCTTCAAAAGGTTAGTGGGATGAAACTTGATCATAATATTTATAAGCCTCAACGTACAAAAATTTTAGCTAATGAAATTGTTGAACGTAACTTTTATAATACGTTATTTAGTTGTTAAAACATAAAAATTTATTCATAAAATTATTTCCATTGTAACATCTATTTTAGGAAGATAAATACCCATGTATAATGATCCTGGCGCGGCACTTTCTGAATAATTAACATCAGTTTTAATAACACAATAAACCGACGGCCGTTGAACAAAACAATTATTGTAGAATGTCTTCTCTATGGATCTGGAAATTAGGAGACGCAATATTTCTCAGGTAGTTATCAGTGAAAGTAAGTTATACAACAGGAAATAATTTTCCGAGTAACTATTTGTTGTATATGTTTTCCTCATTCAATCAAAAGCCTCCATAAGAAAAGCTGACCGCAGTATAGATACAGTACCGACTAGCTACGTATATTTTTTATTATCTCATTAGTTCTCCCCGTCGGCTAACAATGCCCTAATCTTGCGTGTTTGCTCTCCGGCACCTAATAGATGATTTAAAAGCTCTACAATTAGCCGACGTGGTCCGTTCGGTAATAATGCTTTTGACTTTAATGTCATGAACTATGTGCAATTTGTTTAAACATATATATACATAAGTTTCACATCACATTGTTACAGTTGTTCAAAATATTATTTCTTGTGAAACAATCTGGTTCACAGAACTTTAGTCTCGCTATGGAATATTATGTTCATGGAATTGCGGCTAATATTTAAGGTTCTTCGTATTTAAGTTCACTAACCTTATCGGTTCAACCGAAAGGGCTGGACTCTCTACGATTGCAGTGGTAAGTACCCTCATTGAGGAGTGGAGCACTGGCGCCAGCTAGAAATCCAAATTCCGTGACTTTTATTACCTCGAAGATGAAACCGAAACTTCATATGCGGTAGTCACACTTTTTAACACTCAAACAACAGGACAGGCCTAGTAATTAGACATACATAGTTGCAAAATATTGTGACTGCTTTATAGAGGTATTATAACCTTTATATATTATTTTATATATATTATAGGGTTATAAAATATAGTTATAAAACCAACAAAAATAGGTCTCCTGTTAGGCTTCATGCTCCCGTCAAAAACAAATGGAAAGTCATATTGAGATAAACAAATTTCAAATATTACAGTAGGTACTACCAGCGTCGCCTGCGTGATTAGGATAAAAAGTGTCCTTTGTGTTATCCTAAACTTTAGTGTGTCCATTTTTATCCGTTCTGATGTGAGTAAACAACCTCCATACCTACAAAGTTTTGCATCATGGGTCATGTTTTGTATCTATTACACTAGCATTTGTATTTGTATTTCTAACATTTAATATACTATCAAAATGTTATAGGAGACATTTTCGGCTATTAAAGTATACGTCGTCGTATCTAGTTTATGTGTTCACGGTGGAGGTACTCATTGCTAATGACAATAGGTATCTACCTAGTTTCATGGATGATTTACCAAATTCAATGAAATCGTTGACGCGTCCCTGATCATAGCATTCGATAATTCCACAATATTATCAGATTTCAATAAATGGGTCATTAATAAATAATGTCCATAACTACTGACACCAAAAAGTGCAACGAATAATATTTTAAATTTGCGCGTCATTAAGCATGGTGCTGTGGAATATTATCAATAAAACTTATTTTGTTTGACACAGATTATGTTAAATAAAAATAAATGTTACTTTAGCAAAATTTCAAAACTTTGAATTTGGAAGTTACCTTCAGTTTTTATTTTGACAAGTACAACAACAAATTCAAAATATTTTTTTAATACCTATCGACGTAAAAAACTAGGTCCCTTGGTTGTCGTCAGGTTGCTTATACCAAATGTATATGTAGGACACATACGTAATACGTTTCAGGATCCATTTCCGTTCAGGAATCAATTTAATATTATATTATGTAAAATCATATAAAAATAATACCTTATGTAAAATCTTTGTATTTTAATAAGAGGATTTTTACATACTTATGATATATTTTGCAGAAGTAAAGAACGCGTTCGCTTATACAAATAAATCGTGGCTGTAGAATGTAGGGTTTCCCATAACCCATTTACGAAATATGAGATAAAGCTGTAACTGGTAACTGTAACTGCACTGTAACTGGTATTACTCCATAAACATCACCCTACGCACTAAAATTAATTGAATAAACAATATCGAAAAATATACACAATATTTAACCCAAAATAGAAGTTACATCAATTTTGAATTTTTCCACCCCTTGAAGGGTACCCCAACGATAGTAACAATTAAGCTAGACTCAACATAATACGTCCTCTATCTCGGAACAAGTACAAACAATACCTACTTAAAGATTTACAATCCTTAATCCGTTATGTTTAGAGAGCCGAACCCGTCTCCGGATTCATGTCAACCCGTTAAACTAAACACACTACGCGTGCTTTATAGTGCTACGTCTCAGCCACTCAGGATAACGGCCTAATACCACTTTGTTTACAACCTCCACTACCAAATTATATTACCTATTAGTCTTTAATTGGAACCCGAACTTTATTACTGATCTGCATCACAAAGGAAAACAGCCATTCGCAGCATTTGCCCTTTTTGCACAATAGACATGTCGATATGACCGTTAATGGAATAGTTCTGTAACTAACATTGTGAGTCCTCTATATTCTCTGGTTAATTTAGAGAATATATTTTATTTGTAATACGGATAAACTACGCCTCCATTTTATCGAATGGCACTGATGCTACTGTTATAAAATGTGTGCAGGATTAGAATGTTCGCACGGTAAAAATTTAGCTCGGTCAATTTTTGTTATAGGTTTTTACCGGCTTCCACACTCTCGATGCAGAATAAATCTGATATGAGGCTCTCTTTTTTTTTACTTATATTAAAATTAACAACGATACACTAAGTACACGACACGCATAAGCCTACGAGTAGAGCACTTCAGTTTTTACGTTCAGATATTCTCCCGCCCTCGGCCTCGCGTTAGTTTTCTCAAAATAACAAAAACAATTTAATAACATTTTACATAATTCTGTTTTAATTAGCAATGCAATGTAAATAGAGTTTGTACAAACCTTCCGTTCTATCAGGAAACTTCAGATAGTCTTAGCAAGTTCGTTAGTTAAACAGTTGGACGGAGCGTTCCGCTTAGATAATAACATGATTTAAATAAATAAAAGACTTTCTGTGCATAAAATATCAGAGATTTATCAGTCTACCTTGGCCTGGATTATGTGAATTTATAGAGGTACATAGGTACATACATGTTTAATACTCTAGAGTGTAAGCTCTGTGTGTAGTTGTAGGTACCTATACAATATGCCTACTGCCTAGTCCAACAATAAATGTCTTGTCTAGAATTATGTTAGAAATGGCTTGCTAACATAATTTACCGCAATAGAAACAAAAATAAAAAAAAATTAGACCTTTTTTTAGTCCTCATTCAAATTCGGAACTATTGACGACCCTTAACGAAGAACAATTGCCGAAGTTTTATCAATTTGCAATTCCGTGTAATAGGTTCACAGGGAATGGCACGTAGGTAATTAGAACTATCAGTACATAATCGAAATCGGTTCTATTTTGCACCACAACATATCTATTGACCGTTTCATTCTCGATGTTTTCTGAATGGAAATTGAAAATTGTGAAGTTCTCTGTAATGGATATTTGGTATCCTAATAGTGCTGCTTCCCTGGTACTCCGGTATCTGCTGCAACTAAGTAAGTATTGTTTTGATTCACTAATGTTTTATTCTGCTATATCAAATATCTATTCATTGAGTATTGTATTAACAGTGATTCGGTTGGGATCTTTTGATATTTTGACGAAAGGATTTCAATTACTATTCTGGAACTTTTATGGGTTTAAGTGTAATGATAGGTATAACACCCAGATTTACCAAAACGTAACGAGTTATTAAATACCGACGCAACAAATAAATGAAAGGCACGCACTTCAATAAATTTTCACATTGGCCATGTTTTAGATCCTTCTGCGAACTAGTTGTGAAGTTTTATTAAATTATCTTAATATTGTATTCTTAGCACCAGCGCATACGAATGCGGATATATGTGTCAAGACAATATCATAAGTCAGATAATAAGTATGTTAAGTATATAAGGTTTCTAGAATAAAGGTAATTCGCCAACAAGATCTGAACTATCTATATATCTCGGGCAGTTTGATTGCAGATGACAGGATATTCAACCTGAACGAGTCTCGTTTATTAAACAGCCAGCCACTGACTTCCAGGGATTCAATAAAATTAATGAAGGAAAAATATTTTCATGACACTGGGTCAATCACTCAAATATATTGATTGATCAGCCACTCTCGTCGAGATGTCTTATATCGGGTCGCCACAACTCGTCCTTGAACAGTTCACGTGAACTTTTTACAATCAAACGCTATTTTTTCGTCGAAATGAAATTGTCACGTTTATGTCACATAATTCCTTTACAGATTAAAGCAAATCGAGTAGACAGTGGACGTGGTAAAAGTGGAAAATTGCCAAAGTAGAGCGTCATTTATCAACGCCATTGTTGACATTTCGCGCCTTCGGTGAATCTTAATGGAATACACATCACAAGCCCATGTGACAAAACC